AAGGTACTTTTTCCGTACTGCTATCATTTGAAATTTCCACTTCTGCTTCTGCTTCATTCTTTTACTTTTAAAATAAAAAAGACATTACAGTGGTCATTATAATGTCTGTGTTGTATTGTGACATTTCTGTGATGTTATTTCAATTCTCAGGCCATTCACCAAATACTAGGTAGTTAATGAAAAGAAAATAATAGGTCTTATTTTGTAAAGTGTTTGATACCATTTTTCTTAGTAAAAATTATGTAAGAGCAGATCAACATTAGGAGAATTTAGGAGATATAGAAATCACTTTTATCTGAAAGTACCAGAGACAAGGGATTGGAATTTGAAGTTTAGAGAGGGGAAAATGGACATTGTGCAACTAAATTGCTATTAAGTACTTAAGCCAAGCATTATTAATATAAAATTTTACAGTTTTATTAACATGGATAAAATTGTATAATTGAATTAAAGTGGCTTGTTCATGAATATATTTGTGATTTAGCTTTAATATTGTCTGAAGACCTGTAATGAGAGAAGAATGATGAATGGGAAATGAGAAACGTATCAGAAGGGGACCCTAAAGATTATGCTGGATCCAAATTTGATATCATGATTTGTGAAGTGAAATAGTGCTGAAGCAAACTGTACCAATGAATCTCACAGATGATCCTAATTTGGAAGGCATAACATACAGCCATGTGGAATGTTTTAAGATGCAAAAGCAGCTTGAAAAACTTAGACGTTAAAAACTGAATAAAATTAAGTCACCTTTGGAAGACAGATAACTGAATTTTTAGATCTATTTTAAAGAATATTAAAAAGCTCAACAAATACAAAGAGTGATTTGTATCCAGTTCCATCTTTTCATAGTAGTACCAGAGTAACAATGAGGTTCAAATAAGCCTCTGTCACTTTAATTTTATATGTATTTTTATCCATTATGTATTTTTTTACTATTCATTGCAAACTGTCTATGAAGTTAGTTTTCCTGTACTTAGAACATTAATTTTTAAATTTTTAGACAGTACATTACCTTCATATTGAAGGAAAAGTAATTTTTAATAATAATTTTTTGCTTGGAGATTTCTCACCTTTATTATCACGGAAAAAAATGGATGGACATTATATCCAATCAGCTTCCTGACTGAACACTGAATCAGTAGGAAAATGTGTATCACGTTTACCAAAGCTGAGGACGATTAACCTAGTAATGTGGGTTAGAACTGACTCTAGTGGTTCACATTCACAAAGCTGCTTCTTCTTCTCGTGTCCACTCTTAGCCAGAGCGGCCTGCCTACGTGAGAGAACTGATAAGACGCAGAAGAGTTTCTTTAAAATGCTGCATAAATACAATCCATATTTTTTTTCTGAAAAATGTTATGATATTTCAAGAGTCACAAGAGTGATTTGAATATTCAAATTATAGAAAATGTACTTCCATATTTAATTCTGTTCATTAAAGTACAGGATTTTTGTATGCAAAATAAAAACTTGAGCCACAAATATAGTACATGATTAAGTAAAGTATGCCATCAATTTTGATAAAATGAATACGTTTAGACATTTGTAACATATAACACCTTTTGATGTGAATTTTCACTTAGAAAAAAATTAAAACATCATCATTTAGACAATAAATATAAGAATGTTTCTAGTGGGTTATGCTACCTCCCGGGGATAGGAACAAAATGCAGATACGCCACAATAATGTTTTTTTTTTTTTTTTTTTTTTTTTTTTTTTTTTAATTTCTACTGCTCGAACCATATTAATGAGAACATCATTTTGGAGAACTAATTATTTCTATTTGTCTTGTGTCACACTTTCTAATTCCCCTATATTAGCACAGCCAAAGCAAATTAATTGCTTTTCCAGCAGTTGAACCTTGTCCAAGAATGAGCTCACATTCCCTTCCAGTTTCCCTGTTTGTGGGAGTGCATTGTGTCAAAAATTTCTCTTGATACTAAACATAGTCTTGAGAATACCTTTACAGATTTCTGTGTGCTCACTTGATGAAATTTATAAGTTTAAGTGACCCGCCAGGAAAGATAAAGTTCTTAGCTGCAAGATTATACATCAAAACAGTTAAAGTGAAATTAAAATTAAATGAATGAATCTCACTGAAGCAAAAAAAGCAGTAATTAATGGTTCCCTTAATTGTCTTCATAAAATATTTGCATGGGTCTAATTTGCATAATTTGCATGTATTAATTAATCTTTCAAAGGAATTTTGTGCTGAGAGAAGCCAAAAAATCTCTTTGTTTTATTTAAGATCTAATGAAATATTTATCTTCTTTAATGAACTTCTCATCTTCATTAAAATAAAAATTGCACAAGTTTGTATGTTTTAAATGTTTTTATAATTGAAGAATTCAAAAAATCTCTTTAGACTTACAACAAACACATTATTTAGCTTTCAGTATCATTTTAACAACAAGAACACCTAAAAAAAATAAAGTTCAACTTCACTTTCTCAAAGATGGCAAAACAGTTGGTAAGTGAATGCAGCTATTCAGTTGTACTAATAAGCTTTATAAAGGCCTGAACATTTCTTTCAATGGCAGTGTTATTTTTTCTGCCTGAAGTACTGGGCAATTAGAAGGTATGGATTTAAAAAACATCAGTATGTTTAATTATTTGGGAAATGGTTGATTAGTTCAAAATATTTTAGTTAATTCAAAGAAATTAGCCCATAAAATTCCAATAGTTTCTATGAACAAATTGTAGATTGACTGACAGTGTTTCCTGGCAGAAACTGTAAAGTTCCAACTTTGTTCTACATCTGTCTCCTGAAGAATTGCAACAGGGATTTCTGCTCTCACAAACTAGGAGATCATAGTAAAAACCAAGAGACAGGCCCAGGAAGGGATAGACCTCAAAATCTGAAGTGCCAGTCATGTAGATTCAAGTGAATTGAGGCCCAATGTAAGGACAACCTAGGATTTTAAAAAATGGAAGGGAAATGGTGACCTATTAATGGGATTCATTCTTTTTGATGCAGCAATGTTTCAGGATACAACAAAGAAGAATATGAACTAGTATTTCTAAGGCAGTTTAAGGTATGCACAATTCTATAAAATTTTTGTTTTGATGATGTTTATAAGCCCATTTTATATTTGAGGAAACTGAGGCACATGATATAAGTTACTTAGACTCAGTCATGTCAGCACCTCCAAGTCCGTTTGTCTATGTACACATTGCTTCCATTAACATAAACAGCGATCTTTTTATCTCACCGTAATTTACGAAGTGGTTGTGACTAACTAAGTATTACACTGGATAAAGAGGGTGGCATAAATTTGTAAGGATTAAGATACCAAATGCAAATATGCAGTTCCTTCCATGTAAAGTTTAGTACTGTGATAAATATCAATTAAATTAACTTTGCATTTCTTGTGGAACCTATCTTTAGTAAAAAGGCATTTTCATTATCCAGAGGTTTTTTTCCTGTCTCACTACCATTTTCTATTTGTATTTTCTCAATAAGTTTTCCCTGAAGTAAAACAAACTAGAATGCATCCACTAGTTTATAGTGATATTAATAAATTCATTGCAGGTGCCAATGCAGTTTCAGCACTAATGTTTTACTTTATTTAAGTGAGTGGTTTCAAAAGAATTAAAATTAATATTAATATGATCACTGCTAGGAAAGCACTATTGGACTGAGAATGATAGTGTAGTGTCAACATTACCATGCATTCACATTATCCCACTTTAACTTCTAAGACCTGAGATATTATTGATGTTTTCTAGTCTACCCAGATCAAAAGAACATCTACTTATTTTCTATGAGTACATGGGTACACCACATATGAAATGTGTCAGTAATGCCTGGGTACACATACACCTGGGTTCTGGATCCAGAATTCCTGAGTTCGAATTCCTATGCTGCTGTTCCTACTTTGTATAATATTAAGAGTGCAATTTAATTTCTTACTTTTTTTTAGATTCCTAATCTGTACAACTCAGATAATAGAAATACATAATATGTATTTTACAGACCTGGTATGTGGATTAAGTTAATATATGTAAAGAATTTAGAATAGTGTCTCGAAGAAGCTACGTACTGATCAATGTATACTATTCTTACAACTATGCACAAATTTGTTGTAGTAATAGTACAATAATATTTATATCTAGTGGTAATAGTACAATAATATTTTTATTATCTTTGCTCTATAACTCATTTTCTTTTGCTTAAGCATTAATCTGGCAAGTGAAAATTACATTCACCAGACTTTCTAGAGCATTTAAAAAATTCATGACAGGGCATGAATTTCAGTACTTATATCAATTTAAATTGTGTATTTTAAGAGATTAATTTGCAACTACATATTATGTAAAATTATGGATCTCCTTCAAAGTTAAATAAAATATAAATAAGTTATTTTTGACTCACATTTAAGATGGAAATGTTTCAGCTTCTTAATTTTCTTACTATATTTTGGGAAAATCTTCTTAATATGATTTGTATTTTCATATAGTGTAGAATAGCTACATATTCTTCTAATTCATCCATAAGCACACTCCAGAGATAGTAAATCTCCAAATATAGTTCCACCTAAGCCTACTAATTACACCTATAAAACGATGAATGATGCCTGCAAATTATTGGATCTGACTCTCATTCTTTATTTATTTCTCCCTGGGAGGAGAAATACTGGATGGGGAGATCTTAGAACATAAATTATTCCCATACATATTCAGGTATGCTGTGTTTAACTTTGATTCTGAACTGTGGTTCCATATTTACATGTGAAGGGTTATGAGGTGATCATAGCAGAACTAAGGGCTAGTAATTTACATTTCATGATAAAAGACTTACTTGTATTAATATCTCACTTGATGTTCTTAGAATGCTTTGGCTGGTTTTAATGAATGTCTCCAGTAGTTTTAGGAAGTTGTGCACTGTAGGCCTGATCGTCCCTAGGAAAAGGGCTGGAAGGAAGAGACATTCCAGAAGTGAGGGAATACTAAAGACAACCAGAATGGAAAGCGCATTCCTCTTGTATTCCAACAGGTGGCGCTGGGTCCCAGCAACTACCGGCCGAGCGGGAGCACCAGCCCTGCAGTGTCACATTCATTTTCTTTTTTTTTTTTTCCTCCGGTACCAGGAACCGAACTCACGACCTTGCGCTTGCCAGGCAGGCGCTTTTGCCGCTGAGCTAAATCCCCAGCCCTCACATTCATTTTCTAAAAGAAAGCAGAAAGACATATTTATGTAAAATTACAAACTTTTTGAAAACACTGTGGTTGCTTGAATGAGTTTTACTCATGCTCTTTGATAATAGCAAAATAAATAAAAGACCTCTGAATAAAAAACGACTAGTAACACAAGGCAGTATGTGAACATAACAACCAAATTGAAAACAGCACATCATGCAAAAATAAAGGGAAAAGTTCATAAAACTCTTTTGAATGGGGGCAATGACTTCTGTTCTTAACTACTTTGAGTTCATATATATTTCAGGAATAACATTTTGAAACCTGCCTGCCCATATCTTCTGTTTAATTACTCTTCTCCTTTAGATTAATTTCATCTTGTTAGCCACTTTAGTCCTATGCAAAAAAGAAAAATGACCAAAGTATTATTTTGTAGATTAAAATTGATGTCCTTAAATTATTAGCTTATAAAACATTTAAAAAATTCCAGGATACTTAAAAAATTCTGGAAGGGTTTGTATTCTCCTATGAATTAAGAATTAATGCTGAATGTGTCCTGTCAAATAAAAATATGCATTGAAGACTCAAGGAATGAAAAGTCTGAAATAAATTTGATAGAAATAGAAATGTTCATGGAACAAATGTCACATGGTATGGCTGGTCTCTTGGAGTAAATGTCTTATAACTCTTAATATTGCTCCAGGCTAAGATTCCATCGAGGTATGTAAAAAGGACAGTTGCTTTTTTAAGAGTTACTGGCATCAAACTCTACATGTTTGACATTTTGTTCCTATTATTCCAGCATATGCATGTATTTTACCGAGTTTTACAATGAATTTTTAAAGTACAGGCAAAATTTAATTGGCAACTTACTACTCTCTTATTCATTCATGAGTATAACACAGGAAAGCAGGTGACCCCATTGTGATGAATTGATTTCGGTTCAAACAAGATAGAGAAGTCTTTACTGGATCTCTAAAAGAAATCCAAATCAAGAGTATGGAATTATCCAACACCAACTGACATGCATTCCAAGAACATACAAAGACAGTAAAGAACATACTGTACCATGATAAACAATGGAGAACATTCCATTTCATTAAAAACCTGGGAATAATGTTTAGTTTACATTTTATTCATGTCTATCAGAATTTCACACCCTCCCCAAAGTATCATCTGAATTCCAAAAATGTTGATAATATTTACCTACCTAGAGAAAATGTTATGAAAACAATGCTTAAGTGGCTGTACATCAACATAGAAATATTTGGTGAATTTTTAGGTTTTTCATTTCCTTAAGCCAGTTTAAATAGGTTCCTGGTTTTTGTTTTTGGTAAGCACATGAGAACTGATTTCCTAAATTAATGTATAAATATTTAAATCAGTGATTAATTGCCCAGTTGGATCTTGGGTGCAGTTTGTGGTTGGCTTCTTTTGAATAGTATTTTAGTCTGTGATTAAAGGTATCTAATGTGGAATAATGAAACCTGTTAACACATTCATAACATCAAGTACTTTGCAATTTTTAGAATGAGAATATTACAAATATAGTATTTTGGCCATTTTTAAATCTACAGATCTGTTGTTGGGTATATTCACCATACTCTACAATAGAACTTAAAAACTCAGGTGTTTTCTTGTCTTGAGAGTTTATACTCTTCTACCATGAATTCCTGTTGCCCTCAAACTCCACTGTGTTTAACGACCACTCCACTCTCTAACTTCCATGAGATCAATTGTTTTATATTCCATATATGTGAGAAGATACAATACTGCATTTGTTTTTTGGTGCCTTACTTTACTAGGCATAGTGTTCTCCAGTTCACTTCCATTCACGATGTTGTAAATGGGAAATCTTCCTTCTTTTCTAAGCATGAGTAGAATTCTATTTTATTTAAGATTTCTCTAGCCATTTGTCTACTGAGGGACACGAAAGCTGATTCCATAACCTGGCTCTTGTGACTAATGCTACCGTGAATATGGTGGGGAATCTGAATTCAATTCTTGTGGGTAAATTGCCCTTCTGTGTGATTTATGGATTGTATGGTAATTCTATTGCTAGTTTTTTGAGCAATTTCCATAGACTTTTCCACAATGGCTATACTGAAGCATTTCCTTTTCTGCACATCGTCAGCAACGAGGTTCTTATTCTTTTCAACAAAAGCCATTCTGGCTGGTGTGAGTTGATGTCTCATTGTAGTTTTAGCTTATATTTTCCTAATGATTAGCAATGTCGGGCATTTTTTCATATAATTACTGGCTACATGTTTTCTTTTGCTATGTCTGTTAAGGTCCTTTACCCATTTAAAAAAACTTTACATGGTTGCTTTCTTGCTAACAAGTTGTTTGAGATCCTAACATAGTTTGGATACTAACCCCATGGTGGATATACTGCTTGCAAATATTTTCTTCTAATCCACAGGTTATCTTTGCACCATACATTGTTTCCTGTATAACACAGTCCTTTTAGTTTGATATAACTTCACCCAGTGTTTGTGTCATTGTTTGCCCTTTTGGGTTCAAATCCAAAATGTTATTTTCCACACTGATATCATAGTTTTTCCCTTATACTGCCTTCTACTGATTTTGCAAGTACTGGTCTCCTGTTTAAGTATTGACATTTTCATTTTTTTATACGGTTGAAATAAGTGTCTCATTTAATTATCTCACGTGTCAACATGCAGTCTCCTCAACACCAATGAGGAAACTCTCCTTTTCCACTGCATATTCTTGGCAGCTTTCTCACACAGTTCATCCGCAAGCTTGCTTTGGAGCCCTCTGGTCCATTCCATTGATCAGGGTGTATAACTTTGTTTTTTGGCCAGTACACCCTGTGTTAATTTCTACCACTTTTTATTATACTTTGACAACAAGTAGTATGATGCCCCTGCTGAGTTCTTTTTGCTCATGGTGGTCTTGACTGTTCCATTCTATGTACTATTCCATTTGAATTTTAAAATTCCTTTTAAGTTTCAAATTCTAATTTTAGTTTCTTCTAGGCTGTTTTTCCTCTTCTGCTTTTGGGTACCACTCTCTGGAAGTCTCCGTTTTCATGTGGTAAAGCTAGTAATACGAAACATAATGATTCCTCATAAAGGAAATCTCTGGAAGATACAAAATCAAGATTTTACTTTAAAATGAAATCTTAAAATCATCATTCTAATTTCTTTTACCTAAACATTTTTATTGGGGCTCTCCTCCCAAGATGCCTGTAAATACTGCAAGTGCTATAAAATCTTCACTGAGGTGTGGAATGGGAAACAAGCATAGATGAATCCACTCCTTCAAATGACTTCCAGACTGCATTGGTGTACTAATCCAAGAGTCATCTTATAAAGAGTTTGGGAGTCTGAAATGTAGTAATGACTCTATGTGAAAAGTTAGTGGTACATTTTTCTTGTACATGACCTCTAAAATTTACAGAGGCCATGTTTAGTAATTTACAAACTACATAAGTTTTGCATTAAAACTAAACAATATTTTATGAGACAAATTGTGGAAAACATAATTAATTCTTAATAAACTATTTGTTAGAGTCAATTCACCTTATCAAAATGCCTATACACCTAAATGCCAGGGCAAGAAAAAATGTAAAAGACATGATATCTTTTTAAAATAATTCAAGATTTACTAAGACACAAAAAATAAAGAATTCTTATAAAATACATATTTTGTTAATTCATAATAATATAGCTGTAGATATCAAGGTGTTTTTGAAGACTGATAGGAACTGTGTTATTTGTATAAGACATGAAATATTTATGTATTAAATTTTTATCACCTGAAACAGGAATAATTTTTGACAAATTAAAATGTAACCATATCATCTACATATAGTTCTGTTTTTAAAGGTTGATATACTATATAGAACATTTTCTATATCTATATTTTAAAATTTTTTCAATTGAGCTCATTTTCAGCTTTGTTGCATATAAAAACTTACTTTTGGCAGTATATATTTGAAGAATAAAATTAATTTATAGAGCAAACCTGAAATTTTGAAAAGTTTTCCCAGAAAGATGTAAAATATGTGTCATACTCTATAAAGAGTGACTATTGTGACCCAGTGGTTCTGAAGTGTGAATAAAGAGCTTTTAGAGGACAAAGCAATTTATTCTGGTTAGATAAAAAGTCATGAGTCATGTTTTATAAGTCTAGACCCTCAAAGATGCCATGCTACCAATATATTTTGTATAATTTTTGCCAGCAAGGTAAATATAGTTGTTCAGATTTCTAAATAACACTTATTAAAATAAAAACTTGCTGGGCGTTCTGGCAGACACCTGTAATCCAAGCACTTGGGAGGCTGAGGCAGGAGGATTGTTGTGAGTTCGAGGCCAACCTGGACTATATAAGTGAGTTCAAGGCCAGCCTGAACTACATAGTGAGACCTTGTCTCAACAAAAAAAAATTAAATAAATAAATAAAACAAAACTTGGTTCCCTGGTTTTTGTTAATTCTGAAATAAATATACTAAATGCTCAGTAACATACATATTGCATAGAAGATATTTATATAGAGGGAGAATAACACTATTATTTAATGTGAGGCTTTACCTTTTGATGTGATCCATGAAAGGCAGAGAATGGGAAGGCCCAGTTGAAACATAAAGTGTGAATCAAATTGTAGGTTTTGAAATAAAAATGGAGAACAGTGGCTGATAATTGTGTGGATGATGAGCGTGGGCTCTGAGCTACCTAATGTGATGCAGCCCTGGAGCCTATCAACCAAGTGAACACCTACGGGGTAGGAGGCCAGAATATGAATATGAGGTCCAGACAAAAAACACAAATTAGGACACAATTAAAGCTGATGAGACCCCATACACTGAAAACATACGATCTCTTTGCAAAATCTTAGTATTGTCAAGCCACTGCCTACTGTCTCCTTATGCCAAAGAAAAGATCACCTACTAGCAACAAATGCAATGTTAGGAAGCAAAGTATGTTTAAATGGCTATGAGTTAATGTATTTGGTAGTATTTTGCACCGTATTTATATGTAATAAATGAACTGATACTTAAAGAGAAATAAAGGAAACATAATGTGACTTTTTAAAATAACAGACAGGATAGATTAAATGTTGTCTGTGAAAGTGAGTGTAATAAAACTCAAATCAAACAATTTAGTGGTAGTTTATGTATGTGAAGTTAGAGTAGTGTATGATACAAATACATAGTAGAAGGTTAGGTAATTCACATATTGACTTATTTATCTTGCATCTTTGTTGACTCTGCAGACTTTATTTGTGACAAACTGTCAATTCAACTCTTGCATTAAGAGACATGTATTTTTCATGATATTGTTTTGTATGGTAATACGTTGGGTATCAGTCCTTTCAAGTAATCAAACTACCTTGAATAGAGCCATAAACAAAAAGCAGTGACAGTTTACTTCCATTGTAAGGCATTCTCTCTGATACACAGACCGTCTTTAACACATTCTTATTTTGATGAAAAGAAAGTACAAATTATACTTTTGTTTATACTTGGTAAATAAAGAGGAAAATGTTCATGTAACATTGTTATGAATTATCACAACAAACTGTGGTTAAGCCAAAATCATACTAATCTTACACTGTATCCTAAGCTTTAGGAATATCGTGATTTCTCAGTGTATAAGACATTTGAAAACAGACTCTTCAGCTATTCGTTTAGCACTGCAAAATTTAGTGAGTTTTCAACTGAGTAATAAACTTCTAAAGAATTGGACATGAATTGGGTCTGTTACCAATGCCTAAACCAGGTGTGGTGGCACATGCTTGTAATCCCAGTACTTGGCAGGCTGAGGCAGGAGGATTGTTGCAAGTTTGAGACCAACCTGGGCCACAAAGTGA